TTATTTATTTATTATAATGGTTATTATATAGCGCAAATTTTTGTATGATACACTAATTTAATTAACATCATTTATATTAACTTAACTTAATAGTTTCATTTAATTGTTTAATAGAATTTTTGTATATATAAAGAATAAATTTATTATATTTTTTAGTTGTAATTTTTATAAAAATAAATTTATTAAATAAATTTTTGTAATTACTTTCTTAATTTTGTTCTTATCCCTGCCAACCCTAACACGAACATCCCTCTCCTACCTTTACCTATTAGAACTATTTAAATATAATAAATTTTATTTTAGAAATTTTTACTTTATTTGATGATTAGATAATCAGAAAAATAAAGGTAGATATCTGAATAACAGCTATTATCAAAAATGAGAGGGAATTGGAATTTTATCCTATATTTGATAATGGATAAACAGCCTAAATCATAAAAATAATGTGGAAATTTTTCAATTATCAATCAACGACCAAGAGAGAAAATTCTGATTTCACTATATCATCATGACTGGCAAAATGAAAAATAAAATAACTAAGTGCTACATAATCATGAATGGCTAGAGGCTAACTGGTTTATAGAAGGATATCGACACATAATGTTTTATGAAGAGGAAATGAAGTACTTTAAATTAATTCCATGTGAGGGATTATAATTTTGAAATTATTTGGAATAAGTTTATTTGTCAAAAGGGGTAAAATATTTACCCATACAAATTATACTATTTTTATTCAACCTTTAAAATTTTTGTATTTTGAGTCTTTATACTCAGTTTAGATATAATGTTTGAGAGATCACAATTTTAATTCTTCAAAATTTATAGAATATCGATATTCATAAAAATATCGTATATTGTTCTCTAATAATTACCAATATCCTTTACTCACTTTGATTTGTTATTGAAAATATATAAATAAATAATATTAAATTGAATTCTTATAAAATATATTCATTTTAATTTGTTAAGTCTAAATAAATTTGAAAAATGTCAAAGATTTCATGAAGTAATAAAGAAAGCAAATCCTTACTTTTCTAAATGGTACAAAATTTTAAACCATATTTTTATTACTATACAGATTTTATTTTATATTGATTGGTTTATGAAAAATATTGAATATTCATTAAGGAAAGAACTGCAAATGTTAATGAAGAACAGAAATATCATTATAAAAGGTATTTATTCTAACTTGATTAGTCTAAATAAATCTTAAGTATTAATCATCACTTTTATTTATTGTGCAAATGTTAATAAAGAGCAGAAAATGTTTAATTATATTCATAAAAAATATTTATTCTAACTTGATTGCTCTAAATAAATCTTAAAAATTTTCATTAGGCAATAATTAAAACAGTATAACCATAAATTATTTGCTCTAAATATTTTTTTATTTATCTAGTAAAACATAAGATTATAAATATAATACTTAATAAAAATATATCTGAAATTTATGAAATCATCATATGTATCTTTCGTTAAAGATCCAAACACAAAATGGCCCCCTCTCATTTTAATTTTTGCTAGTTTAAACAATAGGCAGTTTATAGTAATAATGTCATTGAGTTAAAGCCAATAAATATTTTACAACTTTTGATAATTAAACCAATCCCTTGTAAAGAGGTCAAATAATTAAGCTAAAATCAAACTAAAATTATTTGATACTTTAGATAAAACAATAAAAATGGGCTATGGTTGAGCTCAAAAAAAATAGGATCAGATTAGTTAAATTCTTTTTAATTAACATATGATAAAATTTAAAATTTGTTACAAACTTGTCTTTATTTTATTGACACATAAAAATATATTTACAATTAAGGTATAATCTGTAACTATATGGGTTATGAAGCTTTCTTAAGTAACATTGGAATCTTTAAAAAAAACACTTGCTATAATTTAACTTGTTTTCCATATATAATAATACATTCATTATTTTTTTAAACACTCTTATAAGGTTTCTTAAATTTATGTAATCTTAATTTTATTTCAAATATCATTTACAAAAAATATACTTATTAATTTTTTGAAACAATTTTTTACTTATAAATTTTTTTTTTTAATTTTGGGAAATTTTATTTTCCTAATTTATAAAATTTATATCTTTAAAACATGTAAATAAAATATAAAAATAAAAAATGAATATATATATATATATATATTAAAAGTGAATGTATATTTAAAAAAATCGATGGCTCTAAAAAGAGCTTATAGTAAAAATGTTCCTAAAAAACAGATATAATTATGTTTCAAAATTTCTAATTGGAGTTTTTGTTTAAGAAAAATTGATTCGCGTTTTTCGTTTGTGATGTTAAAAATTTTAAATAATAAATAAAATTAAGTTAAATCTATAACATTCAATAAAGTAATTTTAATACTTTGTCTAAGTGATTTATTCCTCAAAAAATAGAAACATTTAAACATTTTAAATATAGCGGGTTATCATGTGATAAAATGTTAATCATGAGTATTTGTTTTAGTATATTACACTAAATATCACTGGCGTTAGTTTTAGTCACATGATATTTGAATAAAGTAACTGCATCAATGTTTGAATTTGGTATGATATTATCATTGGACCAAATATGCTGTGATGATTTTTTATTGGACGATTTTTTTTTTAAAAGAACACCTATTGGCTAAATTTGATTTACGTTGGGACACGCTTATATATATATTATATAGATGGTTAAAAAAATGTATGTTATAATTTTTAGTAAATATTATATATTTTAATGTTTTATTTTATTGTTAACAATATTTTCGGAGTATAATATATTATTTTCATAGAAAAAATATTTCATTTTATTATGATTTTTATGAAATAACAAATTACGCAACGATATTTTATTTTTCTGGATAGTAATATAATAGAAATAAAGAACTTTCATTTTTTAGGTAACGTTTTGAGCACTAATTTAACCCAAAGAACATAGCATAATGCATTCACAATATCTAGAACTTACTAATTTAACAAATTAATTCTAAATTAAACTCGAAGAAAATAAATGTTAACTTTTCAAAATTAAATTTTATTTACAGGAAAAGGGGTATAAAATCTTATTTGGGTGTATTTCCATAAAATTTACGACACCATGTTGGCAATGGCAAATTTACATTTAAACTCATCTTAGCTCGTTTTTGATAATTATATTTAGACTAATAAAAAAAAATAGGAGTAAGTATTCAGCTTTTAGGGTATTTTAAAGAATATATTACACCTTATAATAACTATCAATATTCATTCAATAAATTAAAATTTATCCATAATTTATTTATAAACGAGAGATGATAAAATTTATAATTATGTGGCTAACTTTTTAAATTTCCATTATTTTTTTATTTGTGTTAGTAATTATCATATTTTAAAATTGTGAAAATCCTTAATAAAAAAATATATATGATTCATTTTTATATCATTACTATTATACCTTGCAAAACATTGTAATTGATTACTATAAAATATTCCTAAAATGGTTATGGTAATTAATATATATACAGTAAGAATAAAATAATGTTACATTAGTATATTGCTATTTCTTACTCAATTTAAAAGAATATTGGGATCAGCTTTATTATGGATAAACCTTCTTAATTTTGTCTCATTTTTCTTTTCTCATCTATTTATTTTATAACACGTACAAAAAATATTTTATATGTTTCAACAGGTGGAGTGTATTATCAGTTATAATCCCGCACTCTATATAAATTTTATGCTTTTACTATTATTAACTTTAATTTATTACAAAATATTTATATTAAAAAAATAAGTCGAAGGAAAGATTGCCATTAATGACTACGTAAATTTCAGTAACTTAAATAGAGTAGTTTATAGTATACCCATGATTAAACCTTTTCAAATCAGTGTATTGAATTATTTATTTTCAAATTTAAAATTTATAGGATCATGAAATGTTTATTATACGAATGGAAATGATAATACGGATGCAAACGAAATAAAAGGAACAATTATATTATTTTAACTTTTAATTTTTATAGCAAATTGGCTATTTAAAATAGTTTTAAAATATATGGCCAGACACGGTAATTTAAAAAGAATTTTTTTTAGGCCCGACCCTGGTATTTTTTTAAAAAAGTTTTAGACCCTGCCCGGGTATAAAATTCAAATACGGTAGGGCCATGTTTGCTTGTCTCTGATAAATATCTTTACCGAATAAAAGGGGAAAATAATTCTCCGAGGAAAAAAAAAGATATTTTTTTATTCACAAGGAGAGGGAGGGGGATAATTATGAATTATTTTTTAGAAATAGATTAGAATTTTAAATATACTTTTTGCGTCATTTTTCCTTGTTAAAAAATTTCGTCTGAGGACGAAGAAAATAAAAAAAAAATAATTAAAAGATTAAATTATATATTTTTTTTCCAACCCCTTAATATAAATTTCTGGCATTAATTAAATTTCGAATTTGTTTTTTATTAAATAAGTAGAAAGATTCTACTATATTTAAATAATTTTTTTAAAAAATTTATATGAACTTATCAAATAAAGCTACTTTTATTAAGCCAAGTAGTATCTGTTACCTGTATCTAGATAAATTTGAAAAGTATATTTTTAACAACCGTGATACTTTATATACTTATTAAGTTCCTTTTCTGAAATTGATATTTTTCCGTTCATTTATCTTATGTTTCAATAACATTTTTAATAATATTATTTGTTATCTTAAGTTGTTTAAAAAAAATTAAAAAAATAGCTGATATTAAAATTTATTTTAATCGGTCTGAAATAATTAAAAATAAGATATTTTTTTCTTAATAAAATAAAGATAGGATACATTGGCTCAAAAATTTTAAATTAATTAAGTATGAAAATATTTTAATTTGATTTCTTGATTTTAAAATAAAAGTTAACTATAAATGAAAACAACATGATTACAGAGATAACAAATATTAATTAATAATATCAAGGACATACTAAAATGTATTAAAAAAAGTTTACTATATAAGTCTGAGTCTAGCATTCTTTATTAATAATTAACAGATCCTTATAATATAATTATAACTTATATTTATACCAATAAACATGTTAGCAAAATCATTCACTAAAAATATGATCAATTCTATTTGGTGCTTATTAATAGTAATCAACTACAAAATTTTGCGAGGTATATTTAATATTACATTTATAAATTACCTACAGTATATTTTTTTAAAACTTTAGTGTTTTGTTTATCAGAGGAAAGAGCTCTACACTATATTAACTTTTATTTATTTATATTTATTATCATTAAATCTTATAGGTGCTTTCATTAGCATAATGTGTAATCAAATATAGGCTTATCATAAATATTTTCTATATTCACTTATGGGAAAAAAATTTTATTCTATAAGAATGATCGGTTATATATCTATTCCATGTTGGGAAATAAACTTTCTAAATCTAATCATTTTTTTTTAAACCTCTATAATATATAATTTATTTTCTATTCTTAAACTAACACATCATATTTGTTTAAATATTGTATTTATTGTTCATTTAATTATAAAAAAAAATAATAATTTTTTTAAGACTTCTCTTGCTGCTTGAAGGAGTTATTTATAAGTTAACCTTCACAATAATTTAGTCAAAATATTTTTATCTTACTGCTAACCTTTAGGCAAGGTTAGATTTTTTTAGATCATTAAGTTTCAAATGCAAACGCAATCATATAGATTTATTAATGTTCATGTAAAGACAATATTTTATGATATATTAATGAAAAACTTTTAGGCACTTGATAATTTAAGGAACTCCTTAATTTGACCAAAAATTTGAATCCCAATCAAATTCTTATTAACTATTATAGAAAATGCTATGACAAATTTGGAAACTCTCTACTTGTAAAAGTGGACAGATTTTTATGTCCAATTGCGCAAGACCTCTAGAGTGAGTGAGTCAAATTAAAGATCAATGAATAAAAATATATATGAAAATGTGATTATATTTTTAAGCTACAAGGATTTGTCCATGAGTAAATACAGGATCTGAAAGCAACAGTGCATAAAAATTAAAACATAGATTAAAGTTAAAGCTAAAAATTAGATACGATATAATGGTTAAACATTGTAAAATACCTACGATAATGGTTAATAATTTCAAGCCGCCACAAGGAAAGAAACAATATAGTATGATAAATTAGGGTATGAAAAAAATCAAATAATATTCAAACATGAATTTCCTATAGACTATAAATTTGAACATTTATAGTCTAAACTTAGATTTAAAATTTTAAATTGTGATCATATTAAATGGTGGTATTTCTCTCTCATAAAAAACATAGATTTTACGCTTGATGCCTTACGTACTATGGACCTAAAACTTCAGTCTAAATTAACTCAAAATGGGAAATTCTAAAAAAAGGTGGAGAAGAGATTTATGAAATGACCATAGACCTTATGACAAAGAATAATATGAATCAAGATAAACAATGGAATCAATATCCGGAGAAATTGTCTTAGGAAAAGGAAGATCAAATGTTAGAGGCTATAGTTAGAAACAACACTAAATTTAAGAATATAGAATTAGTTTTTTTAGTTGCTAGAGATCGCAATTTATAAGAGATTTCTATCTTTACAAGAAATTTTTATCGTTACAAGAGATCGGTATCGTTAGTATCGTTAAAAGAGATTATTAAGGAGAGCGTTATCTTTATTATTATAAGAAATTGTTAACGGTAAAAAAAATCGTTTTATCCTGACAAGAGATGGTATAGTTATTAGAAGACAATAGCATAAATATAGATAGCCACAAATTATATGCAAAAGGCTAGAAAAAATACAATCGTTTACTGAGAGATCTTTAGAAACACAATAAAATAATTATTTAAGAATTGCCTTTGGAATTGAGATAAATCAATGTCTTAGAATCAATAAGCAACTAAAGAAAAGACTAAAATTTGTCGATAATCGTATAGCTAGCTATTTTGTATTGGCAGTTCAGAATAAATTTAGGCGATTTAAGGGGAAGGGTCTTAAAAAACATGTATTGAAAGAAAAGAAAAAATTATTTATAATTTAAAAAAAAACAATTAATTTGAATATAAAAATTTTAATGGTAATTAAAAATAAATTGTAATCATTGATGTCTTTAGTCAATAAAACAGCGTAACCATATTTTTATCCAGATATATTCTTATAAATCTTCAAGTTGAGACTCAACTTAGAAGCTTAACTCAATTTTTTAGTCTATAAGCTTGATTAAGACTGGTCAAAGTTAGCTAATTTAACAACATTAGTAATTATATTAAATGACAATTATATGAAATTATTATTAATAGTATGTAAATTTAGCGTTTAAAGTTCGTATAAATAGTTACATGGGAAATGTAATAATTAAGAAAATAAAAAGTTATATATTTTTTGATATTTATATTTTATATTTTTAGTTTTTATTTTATAGTTTTATTTATTTTATTTTATAATGAGTAACTATATATTTTAATAAATTAATTTGATAACTTCACTTCTTTATCTTAATAGTAATTAAATTTGGAAATGAATTTCTCATTCATTTAAAAGTTGAATTTTGCAAATATATATGAAAATTAAACTTGTTCCGAAGACCGACTGAAAAACATCGCGGTTCAATCTAAATCATCAAACCTGTGGAACCGCTGACATTCACTAGATCAGTTAATCTATACTTTTGGAAAGGCTAATTTCTTTAATTTTTTTTTTTTAATTTTCCTATGACTATTTTAAAAATATTTTCAAATGAAATCTTTCCAGGGTGCGAAATCAAAACAATTTATAATGACACAGTTGTAGAGAGATGTATAACTAACAATCGTTTGACAATCTTATATGGTATAAATAATAATTCATTATTCATAATCATATATCTGTTATGCATATCATAAATAATATTATTCGGAAGATTATATTCCATCTATAGGCATTTTTTTAAAGATAAATTCCTCTATCGGTTCCGTGATTGGGTCCTGACTCTCCTTATTTCTAAACAATATTATATTTACCATTCTATTTAGCTTCCTCTAAGCAGAATAAAAGATAAAGTTATTTTGAATATAAAAACATCATTTATTTTATTTTTTTTTAAAGAGTGGCATCTCATTATACTAACTAAGGCTTATTAAACGATATAAATATAATTTAAATTATAGGTATATTTATATTTTAATAATAATCATTAAATTAAATCAAACTTATAAATATATTGAAGAATGTTTTAAGATTTACTTCTTTTTTTGTATTAAATTAAAACATATTTTTTCAAAGAATATTGTGTAGTGTAACGTAGTCTTCAACTATAAAATTAAATATTAAATATTAAATATTAAATATACAGCTAAAAATGTCGTTTAAAAACATAACTATTACTCAAGATATATATATATTTTACTGTGTAAGTTTAAACAAAAAAAATTCTTTGTCCTATGTAAAGAATTTTTAATTTATACTAAAATATGTTGTTAATGATTTTGCATTTAAATTATATTTTTTCTAATGGAAACCTGAATTTGAAGTCAAACTTGGTCATAGGTAGATAGGCTAAACTCGAACCAAAAACTTACCCCTTGTAAATTTGAGTAATTATTTAGACTTTAACAAAAAAAGGTAAGCTTATGCTCTGTTTTCTCTAAATATAAAATCTTTCCTAGAATAAACCAACAGTCTAAGGAAACTTATGATTTTAGTGAACTGTTTATAATAAGGATATCATCTTATATAAAGATAATAAATGAAACATAGATTTATATATAAGATATTTTAGATTAAAAGAAAGAAATTACTTTTGTCGTTTCATTCTAATATATTATTTTTATTTAAGGTCACTATAAATACATTTCACAACAATAATCAAATTAATTATACTTCTTTTTTACAGGTCCCATATTATTTAATTTTAAATCAGTTAAAATTTTTAGAATCAAGATTTACACTCGAGACCATTGGATAGCTAGCCAGACATTAATACAGCTGATTAGTGTTTATAAAAAGAGTTTAGAATAGTAAATTATATTAATTTATATGGTGTGGTTTCCTTAGTCTAAGTACCGACTCTACCATATCCAAGGATATGGTATAGTCTTCATTTAATAAAAGCATAATTAACAATGTGGGAGTAAAGGAATTATATTTAATATAAAAAGAAAGAATTATAACTGTAACTTGTTTATAAATAAGAATTACATTTCGTTTCTAAAAAACATGCTATTTACTACTCAATTTTTACGTTATCAAGATATATTCCCCAAAAATAAGATCATATAGGAACAGCACACATTTGATTTTATGAGTTGAGGTTCCTACAAGACACTATATTTACCCAACTCTAATGCCTATTTTAGCGAATATATATTTACTAGAGGTAAGCTCGCCCAAGGGTTTTTCTTCAATATTTTTAACATTGGGCGAGTGACGGGCTTAAATTTTTTTTAAATATGAGGCGGGTGAGGGCTTTCCTAATTTTAATATCTTTTTAGACTAAATCGAGGACCTCGCAAACAAAATATATTTAGAAGGGGAGCCTTAGGAAATTTGCTTGATTACATATCAGATTAGACACAAATATGACAATTTTAATATTTTATTTCTTTCCAAGTTAACGTTTATATTTTAAGAAAATATTATATTATATTATTTAATTATTTTATTTATCATCCGAAGATCATCAAGCTGGATCCATGGATAGAGACGCCGTCAAGTTCGAGAGTTGCAACGGAACTCTACACGTGTATTATGAGAAGAACGAGGAGGAAGACGGATTTCGTAAAAAAATTAAAAAAATCTTAATTTATTATAAATATCGTTGAAAATTAAAAAATATTGCAAAAAATAGTTTTGGCATTTGTCATTCATCGATTTATATAAAGAACTAAAGTCTCCCTGTAAGTATTTTTCCTAGCTCGATTCTAAATTCTGTAGAAGTCGTGTCGTTTGCCATTGTTGTTGGTTTTAGGTTTTATATATTTTTTTTACTATATCTGGATCCATCCATCATCCATATTTGTTAGAGCAAATACATCTTTACAGATATTTTATGGGACTCGGTTAGATTGGATTTCGATTTTTAAAGTCAGGATTTTAACTGAACCGGCAGTGTAACCTAGATAAAAATTTAAAGATAATTTCGTTTATTTAAATAATTTCCTAGATATTATTTCTTAAAAAAACACATTTATTTGGAATTTCCTCTCATAATTTTTTTAAATCTTCCAATTTAGTATTTTCTCGGTCTAATATTTTGTTTTCCGGATCAGATTCTGACCTCTGATTTCTAAAAAATAAAATTTTAAACCATATTTTTTTTACACTCTTATTTTTGTAAATTAATAGTAATTTGAATAAAAATATTTAAATTGATAAATATAAAATTTTTAAAAGATATTTATTAGAATTTTTTTTAATAAAAATTAGAATTGTAATTTACCTGTTATTTGATTAAAAGCATCAAAATATGAAAATAAATCAGCTACATTATGGTTTTCATAATGTTTAATTTGAAGAACTGTAATTAGTGAAATTTATTCCTCAACTGTAAAATCCGATCACTAATCATTAAAATTCAGAAATTGAAGATGACAAATCAATTTATTAAAATATAGATAATCAAAATTATTCTATAAAATAACATAAATAAAAACTAAAAAAAAATATAAAACTTTCTCTTTTCTTTTTCCTTAATTTAATACATTTTATAATTTTACTATTTATACCACTAAAATTTACATATCATCAATAATTATTTCATATAAAATTTGCTTACAATTTTAACCTTTTCAATTAATTTTTCAATTATCCTTACAAATTTTATATTCGCATTAACCGTTTAAAATTATAAATAGCTTTCCTTTTTCGATACACGTATTTGACACATAATTACAATTTTAGTCAGACTTTAATAGGGCCTCCTTTAAATTTCAGAGATAAAAATAATCGAAATATTTAAATCGAACCTAATATATATCCGGTGTTACAATGTCTTTGCTATGGTAATTTTATTCATTATCTAGATTTTAAATGTGTACACTTGATAATAAATACATAGGGTTTACTAATATTTAATAATCTGGAATAAAACATTTTTTTTAAAAAAATAGAATGTAATTTTATTAATATTTTAAAGATTTTGTCAGAGTAAGAATTATACCATTCCCTTCCCCTGAAGAAGATTCGACTAATGGCACTAACCATCTGATTACGCAAACCGATACACATATTAATGGAAACACTGTCTACAAAAGATATAACCTTAACAACAAAGGCTCCGTCTTTTTATTAAAAGGATTGGTAAGAAAAAGAAAGAAAGAAAGAAAGAAAGAAAGAAAGAAAGAAAGAAAGAAAGAAAGAAAGAAAGAAAGAAAGAAAGAAAGAAAGAAAGAAAGAAAGAAAGAAAGAAAGAAAGAAAGAAAGAAAGAAAGAAAGAAAGAAAGAAAGAAAGAAAGAAAGAAAGAAAGAAAGAAAGAAAGAAAGAAAGAAAGAAAGAAAGAAAGAAAGAAAGAAAGAAAGAAAGAAAGAAAGAAAGAAAGAAAGAAAGAAAGAAAGAAAGAAAACAAAATCCAGAATCAAATCTAATTATTATTTTACTATTTATTAATTTAGCGCATTGGCAATCAATCAAGATCTATTAGATTACTTTGGCTTAATCATATAAAATCAATTGCTTAATAAATAAATTTGTATAAATGGGCATTGGGGTGTTCACAAAAAAAAGATAGCATTTTTTAATATAAAAAAATTAAATTAATCATGGGGTAAAAATTAAATTGGGAATAATATAAATAATCATAATAAAGTTTAAATTTATAATATTTTGTATTTCCATCAATATTTCAACTATAAGTAAAATCCTAGTCTCCAGTACGACACATTTATTTCCTAGCATGGCTATTTCTAAATATAGTGAACAAGAGTTATTTAAGCCTTTTTTGTAAATATTGATTACAATTAACTAAATGAGTTTACTCATTCCATGACTATACACTGTGGAGATATATTTTATGATCATATGCAAATGCCCTGTGCCTTATTTTATTTTTAGTAAAACAAGTGTGGCTGTTGTTTTTGTTATTATATGCTATATCTTTACCTTTTAATATTTTCTTTTATTTGTAATTAAATTTAAGTAGAGTTAATCTCCACTGGATAATTATTTGAGACGAAGTAAATAAACTGATGTAAGTCTCAAATACTTGCCAAGATTATAGGATATGATATCAGGTCTTGATTTCTAGCCATCTTATTTTTCTTCATCCTACATTTTAATGAAAATCCAGGATACAAATAAAATATATTATATATAATCCCTATTATTTTTTTTTACCACTCATCGAATCTTCAGTAGAAACTAAACAAAACAATAAAATATGGCAATGTAAAATAAAAATCTATTAAAAATAGCATATCAAATTGCGCAAATTTTAAGCATATCGTACATATTTCAATCATTCATTTGTGACTGTTTTTAAAATTTTATTTCGAATAACACACAAACCATTTATTATTGTTCCCTTTTGCATAAAAATATTTTTTTATATGGTGTAGGCATTTTTCTTCTTCTCAGTTTAATGGCAATTTCCAGATTTACCCAGTTAAGCCAGCTCTGATTTTTTATTTACATTTTTGACGTTTATATCTTTTTATATAGCTATATACAGACTGAACATTTTAACTATTTTATCTATTACAACTTTACCCTAAAGTGATATATATAATATAAATCATATTGCGGTTCTAGAGCAAAGCTATAAACTTTCTATAAATTTTCTAGTTAAGGAACATGTATTTAGGTTCTACGTCATTACAGAGAAACCATTGCAGAGAATGTATTTTGCAGAGAAACTTTTATAGAGAAAACGAGAAAACAATTATAGAGAATGTCGTTTATAGACAAATTTTTTAGAGAAAGTTTTATATAGAGAATGACGTTTATAGAGAATGCACTTATAGAGAAAACAATTATAGAGAATGTCGTTTATAGCGAAAAATTTTATAGAGAATAATTTTACAGAGAATGATTTTACAGAGAATGATTTTACAGAGAATGATTTTGTAGAGAATGATTTTACAGAGAATGATTTTATAGAGATTGATTTTACAGAGAATGATTTTATAAAGAATGTATTTTATAGAGAATGTATTTTATAGAGAATGTATTTTATAGAGAATTATTTTATAATGAATGTATTTTATAAAGAATGTATTTTATAGGGAATTACTTTATAGGGAATTATTTTATGGAGAATTATTTTATAATGAATGTATTTTATAGAATTATTTTATAAAGATTATTATTTTATAGAGAACTATTTTATAAAGAATTTTATTTAAGAATTTATTTTATAAAAAATATATATCATAGAAAAAAAATTACAGTATTTGACATAATACTATATACTAGAATTACCTTATATAAGAGAATATTTGGGTAGTTTTGAATTATTACAATCGGTACAGAAAATTATTTGTTTGTTTTTGCACAAGGTTTTTCGATTATTAGTAAATAATGGTAGAACAAAATTTTGACATGATTTGTAAGGAAAATCATATAGTAAAAGAATATAAAAAATTTTTACAAATTTAAATATATTATTTAATTATATTTATTTAAATTAAATTAGTTACTTTTGGCAGTTACTTTCTATAAAATGTAGACAGCTACAGTTACGATTTTGTAAATATAACTAGTTATAAATATTTTTTAGCTAAAGTGTAGCTAGTTAATGGTAAACACTTAATTTGACAAAACTAATGTAGAGATTTTCATTTATAAGCTTTTTTTATCTTCAGCAAAATTTAATTAGTTCTTACTTATATTATTATACTTCCTAAAAATTCAATTATAGATGGGACACACCGATAATCCATTCTTAGGTTAAAAGTTATATGTCACTAAGAGATAAACAAATTTTGACATAATTTGCAAGGAATTTTACAAATAAAATATATAGTGTTGTTAAAAGTTACTTTGGCAATGTGACTTAAAGAATATGTTTAATACTATTGTATATAAAGTTTTTATAAGATAAACCTTGATAATATACTGAGCTTAGCAATATTCATTTCGAAATATCATTTATTCGTAAAAAATCCAAATAAACATAGCATAAATAATATACCAATATAAAAAATACAATTATGTAATTTAAACATTTAAATTTGAATTATGGGATAAAGCCATTAAATAATTTTGCATGGTTCAGAAAAATCATTTTAGATCTTTCGCGATATTCTTTCTTTGACAGCGGAGCCAATACTCCTAAAGAATATTGTTCCAATTTGTAACAATTCAGGCTATCTTCGTCTATGATAGCTAAAAATTAAAATGCTAAAATTTATAATATAATATAATTACCAACTCTTTAACAATTTCCAGATCGTTGGATGGTGGGAACTTATATGAGACGAAAAACTTCGATGCCAGTCCTCTACCGAATTATTTGTAATCGGTTCACGAGATAGTGTCGATTCGTAGCAATTCCATAGAGAAATGCTAAATATTGGCGACTTCCTCTCTATCGCTATCATTTTGCCAATCCACGTCTCTTCAAAGTATTCTATCAAAGGGGAGAGAATATCCCTATTTTCTTGATAAAATTTAGAGGCACATAATTCCTCGAATCCATGAATTACATCCTCAATTGGTTATGCCAGTGACATTAACATTTTTATGTACATAGCAAAATTTGTTTCGGTTTTGTTTGCATTGCAAATTAGCGGATTTTTTAGAACCGTGCACCAAATGTATTAAAACATATGAAACAGGCATCCGTGCAAAGGTAACTGGTTTCTCTATATGATTTAAATCTTAGCCAATGAATTTATATTAATATAAATACATTCGATTTAACGTAATTTAATCGATCCGGTTAGCCCTAATTCTACTATCCACTAAAAAATAATTGTGACTAGTGGCTAGTTATATTTTTAATAAAATAATATTAAATGTATCATGTTATATTTTCCCAAATTTAACTACTAACTTAACTAGTTGCATTACATTGCCAAAGTAACTTTTAACAACACTATCTATTTTATTTTGTACTTATCTTTAAAAATAAATTTCGTTAAATTCCTTACACATCATGTCGAAATTTTATTCTACCATTAATTCGTCTAATAATCGAAAAACCTCGCTTATATAAGGTAATTCTAATATTTAAAATTATGTAAAATACAATGACTTTTTTATAAAATAAATCATATCTTTAAGTAAAAATCTTTATAAAATAATTCTCTATAAAATCATTCTCTATAAAATCATTCTTTACAAAATTTCCTCTCATTCTCTATTAAATCAATCTCTGTAAAATCATTCTCTATAAGATCATTCTCTGTAAAATCATTCTCTATATACGAAATTCTCTATAAATGACATTCTCTCTAATTGTTTTCTCTATAAAAAATTCTCTTAAAATACATTCTCTATAAAATCATTCTCTATAATTGATATTCTCTATAATTGTTTTCTCTCTAAAAGTTTCTCTATAATTGTTTTCTCTTTTCTCTCTAATGGTTTCTCTCTAATGACGCGATACCGTATTTTTAAATGAGCCTTAAATAAACTAGTAATTAATTTTGATAACTTTTTGGGTCAATAATGGTTTTAGCAAAGTGGTCAAGCCAGAAAAGTATTTATATAAAACATAAGTATATGGAAATACATCTTTACACCAAATTCAAGGTCTTTATTCTCAAGGTTAAAAAGGGATTGTTAACATTATTAACATTATTACCCCGTTAATTGCTTTACCCAGGTCTTCCTTTTTATAACCGAAATTGAAATTTACAAATAATCTTAGAATAACAATTCCATAACAAATCAACTAGATTTGCAACCCAGCCCTCTCAAATTTTGCTAGATTTTTTGCTAAAGTTTGTATTTACAACTTGGAATAAAAAAATTTTAGCCTCTAACTCCGAACAACCGAGATATGGGCCTCTAAATGTAAAAAAATGCCCACTTCTCAAAAAAAGGAGGTTTCAATTATAAAAATACAGTAAAAAATAGGTCTATTCAAACACCAATAAGAATCTAATATCGGATTATTCGAGTTCGATCCGTTTTTACGAATAGTATAATTTACTATTCGTATTAGTACGAATTATATAATTTGCTATTTGTATTCGATTCGAATAATTCATTTTTTAGAAATATAAACTATGAATTTTTAAATATTTAAGTTGCATATATTTAACTTTAAAGAACATTTTTTTTTATTATAATTATCGGATCGCAATAAAGATACTAAAGGAAATTGAAATGCCTATTAATTTAATTTATATAATTCTCGGCTCATTTTTAAGGCAAAGAGATTTTTTCATATTGTATCTTATTTTTTGACAGCAAATTAGTTTCTTTCCGATTTAAGAAAAACCCTTCACAAGCAGTTAATGTATTCCTTGTCAATCATATCATCTGTCCTATTGATAGATCATCGATATAAATGACAACTAATTAAATTTTATCAATATCAGTAATGCGAAATCCGAATATTGGTTAAATTATTCGAAAAATTTGATTCGAATAATTTATCGAATAGCAAATTAATTATTTGTCGAAAATTTTAATTATTCGTCAACCTGATTACTCAAGCAGACTAAAAAAATTAACAAACACAAAAGCTACTTAGCCTTTATTTTGATTGAACCTTCTGGATTTTACTAGAAGATCTTCCATTTATATAACATAATTATGAGACGAGATTATTAATGTTGTCTTTTTTAATATGTAATATGCATCAAAATATAAATTTTATGTCTTCT